AACCGCATGCCCAAGATCCCCGACGCAGCGAACGAGATCGAGATCCTTTGCGCAGCGAAGGACAACTTGGAGGAGCGGCAGCTGCAGATCACGCATCGCCCGCACACACCGACGCGCTAGGAGGCCGCGCGCAGCAGCCTGCAACCTCACCGCCGCCGACACGTGGCGGGTAGCGATCCAAGACGAAAGCGGTGACGGCGACGGCGGGGACTTGATCTACTGGATGCAGACGCCCTGGGATGGCGGCGACGCTGATGGAAACGAGGTCATCGCAGTCCCGTCGTAGGGCATCCCATACTGGGCAGCGGAGCTGACCGGCGGTGGTTGCTGCAGCTGCAGCGGCTGCTGCGGTGTCGCGCCGGGCAGCGGTTGCGGCTGCTGCGGCGGAGCGCCGAGCGCGGCGGAGGCCACCAGGAGCGGCGGCTGCCACTGCAGCCAGGGCTGGGCGGTGGTGGCGATGGATGGCAGTTGTAGCGGCCCGACGAGCGCGGAGAAGGCCACCTGGTGCGGCGGCTGCCACGACAACCACGGCGGCGTGGGGGCGGCGATGGGCGGCGCAGCCGGGTGCGCCCCGTAGGACCCGGCCAAGAACAGGAGGATCTCCTGGACCGCCTGGGTTAGGTCCTGCAGCACCCTGGACACCTCCTCCGGGGTGAGGACGTTGGGGGCGGGCGCGACGGAGGATCCCGACGCGGGTAGGAGCGGGGCGAAGGTCGCGGTGGTCGCCGGAGGCGACGAGGTGACCGCAGAGGAAGAGACAGGCTTGGCGGCGTTGAAGACATGATCGAACCAAAGCTAGCTGTTACCAAATTGTAATGGCGCTGCTAGAAGGAGGGCGCGAGAGGGCCGGCCGGGGGCCTTTCTACCCACGGCCGGGCAAGAGGGAAGGGATTTCCTTATTAATTCTTGCTTGCTTAGATTGATACATCTCTCTTTATATAGAGAGGTTTACTTGACTCCCAAGCAAGGCTTACTTGACCCCTAAGCAAGCGACCCTTATCTCTAATTAACCCTAAGACTAACGGGCTATACCGCCAGCCCAGGCCCATTAGGCCCATTACATACTCTAACAAGGACACAACAATCTACCCAAGTCCGGGCTGCATTACCGCGTAAGACGCTACTCCTGCTTTGTGTGTGGTTGATTTGGCTGACAGTGACCTACATGTTCCTTCCAAGAACGGAAAGTGCAGTGTTGCTCCTATCTATGTCCTTAGTGTCCAACCCAACCCTGGAGTGTTGTCAAAATCTCCGCCCCCCCCCCCCCTTTCCCACTGTAGCCCGGTTCTCCTTTTATATTGCAACGGACACCATAGTTGCTACAGTAGAGGGCACCTACCATGAAGAGATAGGTGGGTTCATTAAATGCTTGATGAAGTGTCGTCGTCCTCTGGCTTCCAGGAACGAGTGCATGTCTTGTCACCACCGCCCAAGATGCTGACCCGATGCAGGCATGACACGCCTCTGTGCAGGTGTGCACCATGCAGGGAATACTGGGGTGAGTCACCCCTTGCGTCTTGGTATTCCACTGGATCGCCTGCCCCCTCGCCACGTGCTGTTAAAGGTCTGCGTACGCAGAACCAGTACACCACGCAGAGGGTGCGGTGGCTGGCTATCACTGCTTGCCGGATGCGAGTCAATTGGAATGGTCGCAGGGCCGGGCCGGCAAAATCGGAGGCCCTGTGCCAAACTCTAAAATGGGCCCTATTGCAGCAGCAAAGTATAATGATAATAATGTATAGATGAACTGTGTGACTTTTTAATCAAGAATCATATCCATTCAATCCTTAGTTGCATAGTCCTTTTTTGAGATTGAGTTAAATCCTCTATTCTTTAGTTTTTTCTTGCACTTTTGGTAACTAGATTTATGTTCTCTTGATGGAAACATGAATTAGATCTCGGAACACTGAACGTCTAGTATCCCCACGATGCGTGGCGCCCTTTTCACATTGGTGGAGGGAATCAAACCCGCCGCGTCAGTATTTGGGAATGCGTCGGTACGCGCGAGCGGCTGGCTGAGTCTTGAGCCTCTTCGTTCTTGCGCCAGTGAGAGCGGACATGATGCCGCTTTCCATTAATTCCCCAAGTAGACGGGACAGGGCGCCACTTGAGTTCGTCTTGGGAACCCAAACGTGCATTGGTAGGATCGCTGACCCTCATGATCAAGGAGCTGATCCATCATGCTCGGCTACAAATGCCAAGGAGAGGCGGATTACTCCTTACTTTCTTCCAGTTCTCCCCTCCCCCTTCCTCTTCCACCTCCCATGGCAGCTCAGGAAGTGGCAAAGTTCGAGGCGAAGCGCCTCGCGGAGGAGGTTCAGGCCCAGAGGATGGAGCTCCAGGCCAAGGACGCCAAGCTCAAAGCCCTCATGGAGAGGACGAGGGTAAAGCTCAGGGCCAAGGACAGGGAGCTCCGATGCATGGAGGCGGAGCTTGAAGATCTCAAGCGGAAGACGAGCGACGCGCTCCTCCACCACCAAGAGGAGAGTGCAAAGCTTCGCAAGTGACTTGAATCCATGACCGAGAAGCTTCGTACGGCGGAGGCCACCATGGAGGAGGCAGCGGATCGCCTCAGCAGGGAGGTCGCCATAATGGCGAGCCGCCTTGAGCGGGAGCGAGCCAAGAGGCTATTGAGTTTCCGAGATGGTTCCGGGAGCCTAATTGAATTTCCGAGATGGTTCCCTACACCCAAACACATACCAATGGTTTTACAGCTGGATTAGTTCATACAAGCGTCCCTGAGGTTAATTAACTTAAATTCCGTGCAGAATAGCAAAAAACGTTATGAAAATATTTGTAAATTAAACAGATGACAAGTGAACGATTCAACTCAGATGTTTTATACTATATCCTTAAAACATGTGGAGGACACTGCACGGAGTTGACACCCACTACGGACAAATTTCATTGGGAGGACAATAACAAGTCTATATAGACACAAGCCACAACAGATTGTAAATTTGCTCTCAGATCTAGTTCTGTGACACAGATTATCTACTTTCGCAAGAATTGCAAGCCCACAGTCGACCATCAATTTTTGTTCTCTACTTGTGTTTGTGCAAGGTAATGGGAAGAATAAGATGCTATTGAGTATTTGCATTTCTGTAACCAACAAGACAAAGGAAAAAATCAACAAGTACTGATGCTTAAAGAATGAACAATACTTTTCACCAGAAGATGGCATATATGGCACTATTTCATCCTCGTCCAGACCAATCAAATCCTGGGAGATCGAAGTTGCTTAGCATTTGGCACTGATACAAGGGTAGAGGGGAGTTGAAGAGACTTACCGCATAAAACAGGGACATGTTGAAATTCTCATCAGACTTGCTCAATGGAAGTTCGATAGACAGGCCAAGAGCTCGTGCATCCTGAAGGTTGGCAAGTAATTATAGAACAAAAACAAAAGATCATTAGGAACACACCACATTACTTTGCATGAAAAAAGAATAGATGTTTGTGTCATAGACAAACTTTTCCATATTGAATCGTTCTCCTAATCATATCAGTCTTTGCTGCTCCTGTAATGCCAATAAAAGGATCATCCTGGTTGGTGAATATGAGAATTCTCTTACTCAGAGTCCTCAGAGATCTGACAAATGTTTAATGAAGAAAGTGGAATCATTGAAGTTGAACCATATAGGTGTTAACCATTACATTAAATGATAGCTAAGGCATCACTAAAATGTAAATATATGCATCAGCATTCAGCAAAATATTGTTAAAATACCTAAAGTATGTTACATTCACTTGTAAGTATAATATGCACAACGATCAAGCTAATGCAAACTAGATCTTTGTGCATGATACAAAGAAATTTAAAGTTTGTTGTAGTACTGTATCCCCCAAGAAAGGTACAGTTAATACTTGTATACAGGCTACACCTCTATGCAAATGTTTAAGGCTACTGGAATGTGTTAATTGATATAAACTATGACATTTAAGAAACAAAAGAGAAAAGTTGAGTTACCCTTTGCACAGTAGTGCCTGTGCAACCCAAAGAGCATTGTACAGGGCATTTTCCTTAGATCCAGAGGTCATTCCATATTGACTTCCAATGTTGTTCATAAAAGAATCTAGCATGAGTGAAAACAAAGAATATAGTAAAATCACAATTGCTGAGCTTTTCATACACAATTATCCCACTCCAATTTCATCCATCGGGCCTTTCTGTTTAGGCGAAAAGAAAATGAAATAAGCACCATGCTTAGGATGTCCATGTACTGCTACTAATGATTTCGTAGCTAACTTTCCAGAAACATGGATATGGGCCTTGCAATTTTCAATGATCAAGAGAATACAAAAGATGAAATCAGCATCAGATGCAAATGCCAGAATCAATTGAGATACTACAATGTCCGAGTTCCAGTCTTGTAGCAAGATTTTTATGCATGCATAATGTGATATAAGCCAATCATCCAACTATACAATTTTAAATTTTCTGCAAGAGTTATATACAAATCTGTAGTACATGAAAGTAGCCTAGCATGTGTATCACTCAAACTCTGATCAGCTATGCAGAAAGAACAATTCATAGCATTACCTTCTATGCAAGAAAACTCGGTAATCAATCCTTCATTAGGCCTATCGAGAGAATCTCTTTCTGTGGCATTGTAAACATATACGCCAGCCAGATCCTGTAAATTTCTCTTTTCTTTCTGCAAGAGTTATGTGGCAACTATATCAAAGAAGTGTACCATGTAATATTAGCATATCAGTTCCACTCCATAAGTGCTCGAGAAAGTCGCACTCTGTAAGGAAGATTATAAAGAACCTTACCAGATAGTGCCACCTATTGGTTGAAATATAGTAATCAACACGGTGCAAAACAAACATTTTAGCTCAATTTTTCAGATGTTTAACTGCTTAATAGACAAAAGAATAAATCATAGCAACATGTCATTTTTTCAACACTTGTTCTAATCAGTTCATTTGATGATGAATGAAGTGGACTTGGTGCAGAAAAAACAGTTTAGGTCAATTTTCAACTCATTTAACTGCCTAATATATGAAAGAACAAATGGTCGCAACATGTTATTCTTTCAACAACTGGCAGTTCTAATCAGTTCATTTGATGAGAATAAGGTGGACTTCAAAAGCATAATTTAATCTCAAACTTCAGTGTCCATTCATCAGGCCTAGTAACAGCAATTCTATGAAGTAAAATGAGAGGAGAGCAATACAGCAGCAATGATTAACATCTCGACTAACAGGTTGGAACTCAAATATGCTGCCTTTGCCTGGTCTGAACAATTAGTTATGGTAAAATCACATTATTTTGACCAGCGATAAATAAGTTAACTAATCAAGCATCAAGTTAAAGCTTGCAACTATGAGTAGCAACTTACGGTGTTAAAGAAACATATTGCAACTTCGTCAAGCGGCCTCTTGATTTTCTGTGTCTTCATGGACTGCGTGATGTGGTTCACTGTGGTATGAAAATGAGTCTCCTGATTTTTATCCGGCTGCAAGAAACGACGAGACAAAAAAAGCTACACCTAGTAAATGTATGTAACCACAGAACTTCACAAATTTCACAAACCAACTCCCAGCAAATACAGCAAGTTTTACCCTTACCATGCTATTCCCAAAATCGTTCTTTCTAAACCATAACCTAGAATCCTTGACCGAAAGCAAACTCTCAAAATATTCTGAGATTAGCTACCTACTTTGCATCTCCAAAAATCCAGACATACTACTTGAAAGGTGTGCCACATAGAAAAACTTGTGATCGCAATAAATGCTATGACCAAATTACAGTATCAAAATGCTCTCGAATTGTCTGCTTGTGATTTACCTGGGCAAGCGCCAACATCTTGGGCGAGGCGTCTATGAGGTAAACAACCATCTCCTTGTTCGCCAATCTCTCCTGCATCCAAAATCAGCAAACCCTGGCATTAGATCAAATCACATCGCGACGCACGCACCAATAGAAGAAAATGGGGAATATGAACGGGGGAGCGTGCGGAGCAGGGAGCGGACATCGAGGCTGCCTTCATCCTCATCACTGTCGCCGCGAAAGATACCCCCGGGATCCCGGTCCATGGCACCGGCCGGTACCAACACTCCCGGAAAAAGGGAAGCGACTTGGGAATTGTACTCCCTGTCAGTGGTGATACGAGGCAATGCAAGTCGCCGTCGGCGTGGTCAGACGAGCCGCGAGGCGGCGGCGTCCTCCTCGTCGAACGAGTGCTGGACGAGAGGCTGCGTCCTCCTCGTCGGCGGAATCCTGGACGGGCGGCGGAAGGCGAGAGTCGGGAACTCGGTGACGATGCGCAGGAGGTGGAGACGATAATATTGCGAGAGGCTCAGTGCAGGCTGTCCAGCCCATGTAATATCAAGGGACAGCAGCCCAACTCCTCCTTCTGTTGTCAGTGGTCGCAATTTGCGCCGCGATATGGGACGGCCCGTCGGGGATTCCCACACAGTTTGACACAACGTGCGTCATATAGGAAATTCCCGGGAGCAAAATTAACGAGCGCTCCTTCGGGAGCCTCGCAACGATCAGCGCCACTTGGCGTGCTCTCAGCCATTCGCTACGTGTCGCGCTCTGGGCGCTCCATCTGAATTTTGTTTTTTTATTTTTCCGCATGCGTTTTCGGCTTTTTAAACGGGTTTTTTTTACGTTTTGGTTTTCTACCGGTCTTCCCTAGCTTTTCGACAAAAAAAATATTTTTTGCAAAAAAACACATTTTTTTCGCATGAGTCACGGTTTTGTTTTCGCGAGAGGCACAGTTGTGCTTTCGCGTCTTGGAAACGTTAAAAAACGTGTTTTCTGTTTTTTATTTCTTTCGCGAGAGGCACGGTTTTGCTTCCGCGAGAGGCACCGTTGTGCTTTCGCGAGAGGCACGGGCGTGCCTCTTTCGGAAAGGGAAAAAACGCGTTTTCTATTTTATTTTTCTTTCGCGAGAGACACGGTTTTGATTCTGCGAGAGGCACGGGCGTGCCTCTTTCGGAAAGGGAAAAAAACGCATTTTCTGTTTTTTTCGCGAAAGGCGCGGTTTTGCTTCCGGGAGAGGCACGGTTATGCTTTCGCGAGAGGCACGGGCGTGCCTCTTTCGGAAAGGAAAAAAGTGCGTTTTCTGTTTTTTTTTCTTTCGCGAGAAGCACGGTTTTGCTTCCGCGAGAGGCACGGTGATTTCGTCAGAGGCACGGCGTGCCTCTTTCGAAAAGGGAAAAAACCCGTGTTCGCGGTTCAGTTTTTTCGTTGGTTTTTTTGTCCGGTTTTTTCGTGAAAAAAAAGTTCGTCAAAACCTATCAACATGGGATCTAGTTTTGAAGATCTCGACGCGAGGAATCCAACTGCGAAAGCGGTTCAAGATTTGGACGCACGGTTTAAGAGATAAAACGTTTTGGATAAACGGATCTACGAAAAAAGGAAAAACATGTAGCGCGCTACTTGTTGCAACCTGGAAAAGTTGGAGTGATCTTCGCAAGGAGTACTCCTTAACTAGTGATTTCAGAAATTCCCTCTCGAAGGGCGCAGCCTCGCGACAAGGGCTACCAGAGTGGACCGGCACAACGGGGAACAGAGCCCTTCAACGCCTTTTTCTTTTCTTCCTTTTTTCACCTTTTTTGCTTTTGATTGTTTTTCTTTACTAGAACAATGCCCATGCATTGCAATGGAATATACATATTCTAGTACATTAGCTTGTGATTTACCTGTCAATAATAAAAGAATTATGTAAATAAATGTCATCAAATTCTGACCGTGAATTACCTTATATTCTGATTAAAAGTTTGTAAGTAAATTAAAATAGAATTTTTCAGAAGGTAAGTAAATTAAGGCAATTGATTATCATATATATATGGAAGGTTGGACGAAGGGGTGGTGCGAAGAAAGGTGAAACGAGAACCTTACCTTATTTTTAAGTAGTGTATATAGAAATCTTTTTAAATTTCTCTTATATTTCAAATATATATATATATATATATATATTATAGAAAATACTTTACATACAAACTTGAAAAATGTTGATTGCACATTTTAGAAAGGGCGACGATACGCATCGGCCGGTGGGTTATAAGAAAATATGACCATAGGATGGGCACGCTAATGGCCGTTTGATCTACCCACATAAACAACCACTCATTTGCAGTAAGAGTGATGTTGCAGAAGGCATTCTGCATCAGGATGCTCATTGCCATCACCTCGAAGCTTTTATTTTTCTTTTAGAAAATCTTTGCAACAAAGGTAATGTTGCATAAAAAATTGCAACACACGATGTTTTGCAGAAAACTTTGTTGATCATTTTCTGTCGTAATTGCAACAGAGCTCGTGTTACATAAATTTGTTTGCAACATCGGAGAAGCTTGTCGGCGTGCTTGCCGGCACGAAGCGCCGGCGGCGACGGACGAATCAACACACGGAGGTGACAGCTGATAGGGAAGCTCGGTCTCGGTTGCACGCCTTGCAACATCGTATAGCTCGCGCAGAGAAGCTTGCCATCATGCTAGTCAGCGGCGGGAGCAAGTGGCGTGGTTGGAGCAGCGCGAGAAGGCGATGACTCGACGGGATCTCGAGGCAGTGGGAGCAGCGTGGGTAGACGGTGACCCGACGGGAGCTCGGGGGGAGCATGAGAGGCTACTTCTCTCAAGGATCTAGATCCCGCAACAGAGTCATTGTCGTGATGAGAGAGATTGCAACAATGAGCTAGTTGCAAAAACTAGTGGTGATGCTCATGAGGCATGTGGCATGCAAAGAAGGCAGCAGATGTGGGGCTGCGATCCGTCGGGTGATTGATAGCGTTTTTCTTTTTAAAATATTAAATGTGTATAAAAATGAAAAATATACAATGTGTATGGAAATAAATAGACATCAAACATATATATTGTTAATCATGTATTTAAGGAATGTTAAACATGTATAAAAAATGTTCCCGGTGTCCACGAAAAATGTATAAATGTGTATGGAAAAAAATGGACATCAAAACATATACATGAAAAAAATGTTGAACATGTATAAAAAAATATTGGTGATGTATGTAAAAAATGTACATTACATGAAAATAAATAGACTAAAAAATATTTTTTATAAATTGTCAATCATGTATTTAAAAATGTTAAATGCGTATATAAAAAATATTGTTGATGTATACAAAAAAGTACATTGTGTAAGGAAAAAGTAGACATAAAAATATATGTTCTGAATAGTGTTAATCATGTTAAAAAATGTTAAACAAGTATATATAAAATGTTTCTGATGTATACAGAAAATGTGCAGATGTGTATGCAAAATAGTAGACATAAAAATGTGTTTTAACAAATGTTAATTATGTATTTGAAATATGTTAAATGTGTGTGTTGAAACAATTCAAAATGTATACAAAAAATCTAGAATTAAACCAAAAAGGAAACAAAGAAAACTAATGAAAACTGAAAAAAAAGGAAAACAAAGGAAAAAAGAACAACAATACTAAAGAAATACAGTGCAACGAAACGGAAAATAAAATAACCGAGAAAGAAACAAAGTGAAGGTAGTACATAGTAGCAACCTAGGGATAAGCAGGAATTCTGGTTAGCATTTCTAATTTTCGAATCTTACTCACCTAAGAGTATACTTGGCCATTCGTCGGGCCGGGCAGGCCTACCGAAGCCGGACGCAGAAAACCTAGGCCCGAGCCCGGCCCGGCCGTCAGGCCTAAGAATCAGGCCCAAGCCCGGCCCATCATGCAAAAAAAATTGTCGGGCCTCGGGTCAGGCCTCTTCCTTAAACAACAAATACTACGGGTCCAAGCCCGGCCCGGCCTGGCCATCGGGCTCAAAATCTAGTCCCAAGTGAAAGCACAAGTGCTTCCTGGGTGATTTTCGTAATTAATGTCAACATATCTTTTGTTGGACTGATAGTTTTATCTAGCATATTTCAATTATGTTCAAGAGTGGAGTGTCAAGGACAAGAGGATGTGGAACCCCTTCAAAATGCCAAGGACAAGCACTGGTACACGTCAGTGCTATACAAACGGTTTTAAATCCCTTTCCGCGACGACATTTGGAACCGTCGCCTAGTGAGTGTGGGCGATTAGGGGTTCTTCCCACACGACCCAGAAACCGTCGGGGATATGCCCTCCTGGCACACACGCCCAGCAAAATGAGGTCGTGTGCGACCGGCGAGCCAGCAAATACGGTTATACGTACAGTAGTGCTAAAAAAATATAATTATATAGGCGAAATCATTTCCTGTCGTAAGTACATCCCACACAGTCAGTCCCCGCGAAATGTTTCCGTTCGTATATACATCCCACACAGTCGCTGCAAGGAAAACGTTTTCGCTCGTAGGTACATCACACACAATTTTCCCCGTTAAATCATTTGTGGTGGCATTCCCATCGCACACAATATTAAAAATTTTATCGTTTGCATTATTGAATGCATCACACACGGTGCATAGAAGAAACTGTGTGGCAAAGGTTGTCCATCACACACAGTTTTTATGCGGTAAACGTTTGCGCAAGGTGGGCTAACGCAAACAGTTTTAAAGAGAATGTCGCGTGTGATTGTTTATCCAACACGGTTTATTCCTACAAAGTGTGTGCGTTGCCTTAGGTCATCGCCCACGGTATTTTCTCAATAACCGTTTGTAATAGCAAAAACCAATTAGCAGGCTAATTGCCCTATTATTAATAATCTATTTATTAATCTAATTGACATTCATATTAAACACATAATATATTTCATTCCCATATTAGGGAAGCAGGATTTCATAACTGAAATATATCAGAGTACAACATGATATAGCTTCACCACTCAGCTATCCCATTACACAACTGCACCAGCACCAAGTTTCACATGCAACATCTAGAACCTTTTGAAATTAGCATCATAGATGGTACTTAGACAAATGCATCTCATCAGGAAAATTGTTGAAGCGGAAGGCGAATATTGAGCCTTCATTGATGTTGAATGTCTTTGCAACTTTAGGCCAGTGCTTGTGGATGATTGACCGTTCATCCTTCGTCCTCTTCAGGAACACTTCAATATTGAACCATGGGTGTTTGAGAGGTAATCGCTAGTGAACTGTTTTGGAAAGGCCTGAAAACAAGGATGTG